AAATGTAAATAGGCACTTCGTGTTACTTTATGTACTCTATAAAAAATGTAAATATTTGAATTAAACTAAAGCAGTTGAGTGTTCAGTTTTTTTGAAAGAGAGTTATACATTTTTGACTATTCTCAGATTATGTTTTTATAAAATTATATATATATTTGTATTTACATGTATATGCTAGTAAATTTTTATATGGTATCAATTATCGAGTGAAAGAGGATTTTGTATATATTGTGTATGTATTATTATTTATTTATTAATAACATCTCGGCGGAAATCACCCAGTGATAGATATTACCATTACTTTATCATTATTTTAAATGACTAAAATAAACCGAAATGGGATATGTCCCCACCTTCATGAGCACGTCTCTAAATTAAGGTTTATTAATTTTACAGACAGTAGCTACTTATGTAAATATTAATTTAACATCTCCATGTAAAATATAGACAATTATAAACGTTTCTCTGACGGTTTTTACGGTTTCAATTATACTTTACAAAACAGATAAATTGAGATGTAACGTAACAACTTTTAAGTTTGGACGAAACACATAACAATATTTTCTTTATGAACAGAAACACTATCTCATTGTACTATTGTGCATTATCTAAAAATATTGCAATACAGTAAACAATAAAAATGCAATGAAATTCGAATTGTTTAAGTTCAGTGTTTAAATATACATTCTATATTGGGATCAACGATGATCATTTCGGAAAAAAGTATTTTCACTTACAAACAACTTTGGATATTGAACCTGAACGATTCTGTTAAATGTTCAGCCGAACGGAAAATGTACGACAACGAAAAAGGTCGCCCTAGGACGTAGCCGTTTAGCCGTTTAGCCGTATCACCATATAGCACGAATTCCTGCAAATATTTTATCTGTACAAGCAAACACTGTTGGATGTATTGACCAGTGCCCGTGATATTATTACTGTGAAGCTATTCTGTACTAGTCTCGTACCCATATAATATGTTAAGCTGTGCAACAACATAATAACTAATGACAAGTGTACCGCAGTAGTCAGTAATAATAATCGAATACTTTATGTGATGGCCTGACACCAAATTGGATACTATTATAGAGGTCACTCGACGCAGATAATAATCACCGGTAAATCTATAATACTCGAAATTCGGTATAAACTACAGACAATATGAGAAATAAAATTATATAAAAATATTTTTTTTTTTTTTTGTTAAATTTATTAAATCATAACAATATTGATGTGTGTACAAAACAAAACAAAAACCATAAGGCCGAATACCTATACTTTTTATAAATAATATATTATTATTGATGTAATAATACAGTTTTATAGAGAACCTGTAAGTAGTCATATTTTTATCATGATAATTTATTATACCGAATACAATTAGTATAATAATATACAGCTAAGCGGTTTTTAAATTGACTACAGTCCAAATAAGTTTAATATGCACAAAAGCAAAAGTTTACATTTATCTTGTTCAAAATATTTTTTCATATTAATTAATTTTGTCTACATTATAATTTTATAATAAATATATAATACATATTGTTTTTGATCGTAATTTGTAATAAAAATAATTGATTTATCAAATCACATATTTTTAAATACTTTAAATTTTATTGTTATTACTATTTGTGAAAACAATTAATAAATACATATATCAATATTTAAATTATTGATAAAACTATATAAAAGGATACTTAATGTACTTTTATAAATCAATAAATAATAATTGAATTGTACTAAATTTGTACATATAGGAAAATAACAAAAATAAGATTAAATACATCATTTGTTTTTTTTAAGTTAGTGTTACATTAATAATTAAAGAAATTCAAATAGCTGTCGACTATATCCATAGAATAAAACCATGATACATTGAAACTTGAAAAATACTAGGCGGAGTAAAAATTATTTTTGAATTATTTTATTTAATTACAACTAAAAACATGCTAATCTTATACTACTCTTTTTTCTTGTTATAAAAACTTTTATTTTATTTGTTAATGTATAAATTAATAAAAAATACCAATAATACCTTTAATTTATTCATACACGTACCTATATATAATTTTATTTCTATAAAATAAATAATAATTTCAAAAAAAATTATATTGGTCCAATTTAAATATATATATATATAATATATATTATTTTATTTTGTGCGAGTTACAACACTTATTGGTTATTAATGATTGAATTGTGAATTTTAGTTGTTCCATTGCCTTAGCCAATATAATGGTTTAAAATCACACGTTTGGTATTACTTGACAGTTATTACGTAAAAACACATAAAAGTAAATTTACGGGCACACAATATAAATGTTCAAATAAAAATCAATTCCATTCCAAACTAAAATTTACTGTAAAAAACCTATTTTTTTTTTATACCAGACATACTAAACTATAGCTACGTAATATGCTATTTTTATAAAATACGAGTATCATAGACTTAATTGAAAAATCGTGTTTACAACAATATTTAGCGTCAAATATAAAAATTATAAATTACTGCATAAAATGTAATACTAAAGGAAAAAAAATAAATGTAAAAGCTTACACTGTAGTAAAAAATGAATATTGAACATAACATATGCCTACAAATTATAAATTTAAAGTTAGAATAAAATATATAATAATATAACCACTGAGTTCCATATATATATTCATTTATACTAATTTTATTATACTAAAATAGAAAAATACATTATTATTAAACATTTATATGTGAAATCCTCATATGAAATTAACGAAATATAAGTTGTGTGTAAACTATATAACATAAATTTGAACTATTTGAAGGTTTTATATAAATGAAGGCATTTCTGTTTTAACTAAAAATCTGTGTTCACACACAAATGTATATTAATTTAAATTAGGTATGATTGAAATGAAACGTATAATGCAGTCAGAAATTTTTTTTTCAAATATCGTCATTTGTACAACAAAAATACGAACTCTTAAAATTTTCGATTCCACACATTCATTTTATTTATTCACAAATTACGATTTACGGGTAATATTTATGGCCTTTCCGCCCAACGCAGATAATGGCATTTTAAGTTCAACAAATTTCTCGTGTATTATGTATTAAACTAAAAATATAATATACATAGCATATCTGGTAGGTGCGAGACGCTTGCCGGAGAAACGAATATAATAATAGTATTGTATAGTATAGCGTGGCTACGACACTGACTTAACGGCCATAAACTGCAGCCGCATTTGTTGTATGCGTGGAAAGGAAATCAATATAATTTTAGGGGTCGTCGACTAATTCGTCCCCTGCATACCTGGGAAACTTTTTGTGTATCATAGAAGGGTTGCTCTATATATAATAATAATGAGGAAAAATATTAAATGTTTTTTTAAAAATAGAAAACAATAAACCTTAGTTCACGCATTGTATTAATCCTATACAGGACACATTATTATTATTTTACGTACTTTCTATAATTATAGAAATGCGAATATACGTAAAACACACGTAGGTTAACGCATGTACAAACTTTATCAGCCTGAAAATTTGATATGGTTATAATTTCATACCGACTGGCGACTACATATAATAAATTTGAAAAGTCAAGGCGTACAACTGTAGTATTCCTATATAGTATTGCTATTGCCATATACCTTTGTACATAATACAGAATGTACCTATATGGCTGTGTATAGTTATTCTATCATCGAATATGCAGGGTAAAATAAAACGAATACTACAAGAAAATTGAATTGAGTAGATATACAAGACGCATATATAACTGCTAAGTAGATTTAAATTTTTGCGTTGCATTTTTATTATAATAATATATATGTTGAGTTTAAAATTTCAAATAATTCAATGCTTGAAAATTATTAATATATTGTACTGCTACTGTTTATGCAGATGTGATACATTTGCGTCATGAGTTTGAACGCAATACGTGCAATAAATTATCACATTAATATAACCGATGTCGTTCAAAAAAAATCCATATTGGTTTTGTTTAAACTCCATCACTCGCTCGCGTTACTTAAAAACTGTTTTCAGTTTTTCGTTAGTTTTTCCTTGTACGCACCATTGCATCAAATGTTAATGCTACTTATTTATTTATTAATTATTTATAACGCTACAAAGTTTACTGCTATAGCTTGTAGATAAGATTTACAGTCGATAAAATCGCGATGAAACTTTTGAAGCTTTTTCACTAACCGGGAGTGTTTATGGAAAACGAAAAAAAAAATCACCATTATAAAACCGGAACATTATTTCTCGCTTCGATCGAATTCTAAAATTACACACACAAAGGTGACACGTATATAGGAAAGAAAAAACCCATGGCGCCTCCGTCGGCGGGGTTAAATCGAGTTATGCGGTGAGATATGCCGATACACTGCACAATCGCCAAGCGAAACAGTGGGCGGGCAACGGTTTGACGCACGGAGGAATGAGACCAAAAACAAGCACAGACATAAATTATTATTATTATGTGAATGCGTATATACATACACGCGATGAGTTGTTTGTTTTGGGTTTGCGCATTTTAAATACGGTTGGGATATCTCTAATAGCGTGCCCGTATTGACATAGTAATATTATTAACACCGCAACGTAGGCTTATTAAAAGCGTGTACGAACACAGGACGTATTAAAAATATCATTGCAAGGATCATCGAAGGACACTCTAAACAGTCTATACGACTCTAATACAGGACGGGCCGACCGCACAGTAATACAGTATCACCGACGCTGTTTGTATATGGACCAACGATTATTTTTTAAACATAATGTATAAGAAATGTCACTCCTAACACCATACGTTGTGCAGCGTGTTCATTGATATTATTTTAATACGTAGACTCTGTGAACCGTTTAAAAACTGTGCTGCCGCCGTCCGGAACTCTTATCGTCGAGATTGCTGATAATATTGATAACATTAATGAGAACTATTGGTTCGCAAAGTCATAGGCCATAGCCTATAAGCAGTATATATTAATGTATAAACAATTTATTTTGTACTTACGATTTAAAAAGACCGTATTACGGTACTCAAACGTTCTGTCACATCGCATTCAACAGACTGTACATACACAAACTATAATGATCGCTCTTCGAATCTGTAATCAATCAATAATATTTTTGATTTATTTTGAGAACAGGCACTATATTTTTTCGTGACACACATAATATATAAACATATTGAATTACCGTGTGTGTGTGTGTGTGTGTGTGTGTGTGTGTGTGTGTATGTGTGTGTATGCTAACGTCTCATCGTCATTGTCGTCGTCGACAATAAACCTAATTTCTGACGACGGCAAAATATATATTCATTATTCATGGGATAAAGAGAGATATTGGACAAACATGAATAAATTACAAATTTATGCAGAGTGAAAATTGCTGAGCCCTGCCGCCAACGGGGCGACGACTATGTAAACTGTGTATAGATGTGTGTGTATGTGCACGGCTACACAGAGTATAATATTATCGTACTCTCTCGCTAGCACCGCGTTATTGTATACTTTTGATCTCTTATGGGCCGCATCGACCTACTGTTCACAGGCGACGCGGCGCCCCGTATGCGCCTCGACGTCATATCCAATTATTATATCAGTCCACTTTAGATAGACTACACGTTGAAACCCCGACCGAGAGTATTATCCGCAACAATATCAAAAAAAAATATGTGGGAGTGTGTGTAATTTACGCACGACACGCGAATTTTACAATATAATAATATATTACAATATGTATAATAAGTACTAATAACAATAATTTTATCAAATCTAAATTTTGCGAATTATAACTAAAAATATATATTTGTGTATCTACTTAACTCAAAAAACTAAGCCTGCCCGATATCAGTAATAAATAAAAAAGAGAGAGAAAATTGCTCTGCTTTCCTATATAGTCGTATAATTTGAGTGAACCTAAGTAATGTATTTGTATTAGATTTAAAAGTAATAAATAGTGATAGATGAGTTATCATCGAGAATACGAAGAAATAATAAAACTTAAATATCGCATTTTAACCGTTTTTCCGTAATATTTCGATGAATTTTCTTTGCAAATTTATCAAAAATTAAAAAATTACCAATTGACAATTACTTGATACAATTTGTTAGGTACTAGAAAATCGATACAAGCGTAGCATGATTGGATTAAGTTTTCTCGTTAAAAAGTTGTGCAAATAAAAAAAAAAACAATTAAAATAATTAAATCATTGTAAAAATTGATATCTTTCTCACTCTGCTCAAAAAATAAACTACAATAAATTATATTATTAACGTGCACAAACAGTAAGCTTTCGTGTTTATATATTATTTTAATAAAAGCTTTTAATTTATTTTAGTGGTCTATAAAATATATTTATTAATATTTTAAGCAAATACTAATTATAGAATATATCGCTTTATCAATACATATTAATAACTACAATTTATAATTAAAGTAACCACAAAAATGTGAAAATATTTACCTACTATCTACCCTTGCTACTTTATATAAGTAATTAATTATATAAAATAATGAATGATTTAAATTTCTTCAGAAATCAAACACTAAATAACTTGGAAAAAATAAAATAGTTTTTTTTATTTAAATTAATTATTAATTTTACGTTTTATGTGAATTTATTTATCAAGCATATGATTTCATCTAAAGCTATATACAACTGTTTTGTATCATATTATAGTTTAGATAGGTAGGTATGTAATAATTCATCATCTTCATAAAAATATAAAATAACAAGACATTCACTCAACATTTACAACACAACTCTCCAATTTTCAAAGCTTATTTTTACAACAAAATAATAACATTAATTATTTTTGAATTACTTTAGGAGTAATTCATTTTTTTTTGTTAAAAACTAAAATTTAGGAATTTCTTTGAACAAAATATTTATCTAATAAATATAATGTAATATTGGTCACTATAATTAGTTTAATTAATATAATATAATATTAAACATTTTACCATAAATATTTATGGAAATAATTAATGTAGCCGAAATCTTACATAAAAGTTTATAACATATAGCAATTTAAGTTAGGAAAATAATTAAATTCAGTTAAAATATTTATTATTATAATTGTGTTTTAATTGATAATATAACCACAAATTTTAATGAAAGAAAAAAAATCATTTTTTTCAATTTTTACAAAACTTTACAAAGAACCTAAACAATAATGTGATCATAATTTAATGATGAATTAGTTACTCAAAAATGTGTTTACGGAGATTAAAATAAATAGTTATAAATTAAATAAAATTTACTTAAGTAAAATACAACCTACTTATGAAATATGAAAATTTTACTAATAAATATAGCCGTATATGATAATTATAATACTTGAAATGTTATCTATTACAGAAATCAGCATTTTTAACGAAATTATACGTAGAGTAATGCAAGATTTATGTTATACGTTTTAAAGTTATTTCTTTTCAAAAATTAACTATATTCATTTTTTTTTTAAATTTATCCATTTTGGATGTCGAACACTCAAACTAACATTTATGATAGTTATTTTTTTATTTCAGTTATAAATATATTTATTTTAACGATTTTGTATTAAATATCATTTACTAATTTTACCACTTTAAACCGTTTAAATTTGTTTTTTCTCCAAATACTGCAGTTTAACAATAATTATTACTATATAGTCAAGCAAAAACATCCACTAGAAATTAAAATTCATGTTATGGTTAGTGAACATTTTCCATATATAAAGGTACCTATATTATTTAAAATAAAAAGTTTTAAACTAAATACATACTACATTTTAAAATATGTTTTGATAAATTAATAATAAAATCGTTTAACGATTTTATGTTATGATTTAAAATAAATAATTATGCACTTTCATTTTTAGTTAGTTTTTAGTATTCCCTCGTCAAACTGACAAAATAGTGTATAACATAGCCTATAATTTATTTTTTTGTAATTTATAACTTTTAGGTTATTATTTAAACAACGATGAATTAATTTGTATGTCAAATAATTTTCATTTGTGATTTTGAGTTATAATAATTTATTTAATCCTGATACATTATATTGACAACATGAAACATTGTCTTACAAATCTAAAATACATTCAGTTCCAATAATATTCAAACTTTATAATTCAATGTGTTTGATATTAACTCTCGAAACTTCTATTTTTATAAATTAGAGTTATAAAAAAAAAAAAAAATACGCAAACAACAAACTTATTTTGTTTTCCATTTCATTGCATTTATATTTTACACACTCACTTATCTTTCACCGTAAGCCTTATCAGTTTATGCCATTTAGTTTTGCACAGATTCCTGGCCAGTCACCATTAATCAAACAAGACGTCATCCACACCTCCAAACTGAAATTTTCCTTCGTATAAGCAGCTATAAAAAAATAACTTTTTTTTTTTTGCTGATCTTTGCGGTTTAATGTGCTTAACGTTTTTTAATGTGTACACAGTACGTGTTTACTGCGAAAAAAAAATTACACGATTTTTCGAAGTTTTATGTTTGAGCTTAAAGAGGGTGTGCCTTTCAGACTGTTTTGGGGGACATGTTCCAAAACAAGGTCTGTAAGTGATTGGACAGTCGTAGAGCAGAAAGATGGAGAAAAGAAGAAAAATGTTAATGTTTTTTTATGCTAAATGGTCCAAGAGAAGGCATGATGACTGCAAACTACGATTTAAAATAGTACTATCTTATAAACTATCTTTAATTGTGCTGCAAGCACACACAATGACCATCTCCAGAGTGTGTGTGTTGTGTATACATTATAATAAGCAGCTCTAAAACATTACAACACCACACATATTTTTTTCAGATAACGATAATATATTCACTATTCTTAAATAATGAATAAATTTTAGTGTTAGTAGTAACGTTAAATCATTAGTTTAAAATCTATAACGTGTAAAACAGGTCCTCGTGGTCTCGACCCAAAAACCAAAATGAAGGTTTTGGTTTCTACTCATAGATACTTTTTTCATAATAAATGGTGGAAAAATCTGGACCAAAACCAAAAGGATAGTTTTAGTCCACCCGTATAAAAGACGAAAATACAACTTAAAAATATAATATACGATATAATTATAAAGCAATTTATGTAACAGTAATAGATGATGTGATACAAATAATATGCCTTTTAAACTATAATACCTACAATATAATTCTGTTATATAGTATGTGATATACCGTTTTGTTTAATTATTTCGTGATTTGTGTAAAATACTATAAAGTAAATGAATAATTTATTATTATTATTAAAACATGAGGGAAATACATGTTAATTGTATAGTTGAAATAAATTTTAAAGTAATTATTTAATTTCACATTTTAATTTATTAAAATAATATTTTTAATAATTTTAAGTTTTATTGTTTCTATCATTCGTAGTTAATATTGACTTTAAAAATTTTTTAGAATTCGCAATTTTTATGATACAAAAAACATTGGTTAGAACTAAAAGGTCATAATCATAAATAATATCGGTAGTTTATCATATTAAACCAATATTATACAAATTTAACTTAATTACCTACTGTATTTCTAAAATATTGAAATTTTAGTTTTTACCTTTATTACATAATATTTAAACATTATAATTTAGGAGGATAGCTTAATATCATTGACCTAATAAGGAATGTATACACAGTCATGTAAATGAGTTTAATAAAATTATGATAATATAACCATTGACAATGAGCCGTTGCTTTATTATTTATTTGACTGTATTTCAAAATTGTGTCATTTATCATTTTTGAATGTAATAATTATGTTATTGAGCTTACAATATATAAAATCTTTATAAACCTTCGTTTATAAATAAAAAATATTGTGATAAAAGCAGATAATACTTAAACGTTTTATTTAATTCCTCAAAATATAAGATAATTTTATTTTTTTATTTTTTGTTAGCTAATAAAACAAAAATAATATACTTAATACTTATATGTTATACCTGAATGAAAAACTATATTAAAATCATCACACAATTTATAAGTTTCATAATTTAATAAACAACAATAAGTCAATATTGTCAAAAAAATGCATGAAAACTATTGATTTACAGCTTTAAATGGATTCGAGCTACTATATTATTTATATATATCTATTCGTT